ACCTCTCATTAATCTAATGGCAGAGGCTACATTTATCTCTGAAATTCTATCCCCAATACTCTGCAGATTCAACTCCATCCTCATTATCTCAATCATAGCATTTCTTGGGCATCCTTAGATAATTCTCATTGCTTCATTTTGTACCTTCTCCAACTTGCCCATCCTACCTTTACCAAAACAAGAAATGACAGGTGCAGCATAATCAATAAGAGATCTTACAGTACTCAAGTATAACATTCGTAGCACAGGGACTCCCACTCCCTTTCCACAGCATGCCAAAGCCTTCAGAGGTTGTAATCTCTTCCGACATTGACCCAACAGTCTGTTCATCTCAGCTTCCAAACTCTCATGGGTATATCCAACATATATGCCTAAATATTTATATATATTAACTCTCTCTATATTTTTATCGTTTATTTTCAAAACAATGGGGCTCCGACTTCTACATTCAAACTTAGTTTTGTTTTCATTAACCACCAATCCCATATGGTGACACAGGTTTCCGAAATTGTCCAACACTGTTTGAACCTTTGAAATACCTTTGCCCTGAAACAAAATATCATCGGCATATATGATCGGAGTTACCCCATTTGAGTATCTCTCAGATGCTATCTTATTCATTAGTACATTAAACAGGGTGGGACTCAACACTCCTCCCTGAGGTGTGCCGAGTTCAAAAGACCTCACACCTGACATACAACCTTGATACCACACCTGAGCCTTCCTTTCGTAAAGATAATCCCCTATCCAGCGCAATAATTTCCCTTTAACACCAAGACTAGCTAATTCATATAAAATAACCTCTTTGTTGGCTTTATCAAAAGCTCCTTGTAAATCAATGAAAATTCTATAATAATCATTTTCATTAGCTAGACATTTAATAATACAATCAGAGGTACTTTTTCCTTTGAGGAACCCGAACAAATTACTAGACAGCTGATCACCTATTATATATAAAAGTCTATTTAAAATGATCCTCTCCATCATTTTACAAAAACACGAGGTTAAAGACACAGGTCTATACTCTCCATTGGCTTTAGGGATAGGGATGATCATAGCTTTTTTTCCATTTACTGGGAATACTGCCCTCTTTATAACTAATATTAAAGAGGTCTAAAAGTGGGCTTTTCGTCATAGTGGCAAGTTCATTAAGTTTTCATAAGTTTTTATTTCATAAGTTACTCCATCCTCCCCAGGTGCGGTAGATTTCCCAACTTTAATCGCCGTTATTAGTTCTTCTCTGGTAATACCTGTGCAAGTGACATCACCACTGTTACCTGCTATAAGTATAAAATCCTTTCTTAGATCTTTCCAAGAATCTAATGACTCTCTCGTTACAGCGGGTAATGAACTAAGTTTGGCAGCTTCCGCCCATTTATTTACGAGCCCATTTGCAATTCCTTGCGGGTCTGGATGTGCAACAAAATTGTGCTTTTTACCCCTTATTTTATTTACGTCTTGCCAGATTTCCTTCAAGTTTCTGTTACTCCCAACTTTCTCTGCAAATTCCTGCCAATACTTGCTCCTAATTTCCTTTCTCTTCTCCCCACACAGCCTAGCAACTGCCAGTAAAGCATTCTTCCCTTCCTCGGTCCTACCATTCCTATTCCAATCCCTGTGAGCTCTCCTCATTGTTAATGTCCACCCCTTAAGCATCTTGTCATGTGTATAATTTTCTTTTCTGGGGGGATGCCTTTTTATACTAGATGGTTTCCGGTTCAATGTTGCATTAAATACATCTACCTCCTTTATTAAATCTTCATTAAAATGCTTCTGCCGAAACCGGCTTATAAGTATCATACCAAGACTTAATATGGCCAACAAGACCCCTTAATTCTCCCTCATTAAACTTTAACCTTTTCCTCTGAAGGCAGGCATGCTTTTTATCTAGTTTAAGCTGTATTTGTAATGCAAAATGATCACTTAGCATTTCATCCACAATAAGACAATTCCCCTCTATGCCCTCAGCATTTATTAAACAAGCATAATCTAATCTCCCTCCCCTCAAATGAGTAGGAGAGGGCTCGCCCAGCAGTTGAACATCTTCATGTTCCTGCAAAAACTGGTACCATCTGCAACCATTCCTATTTGCTTTACCCCTTGATCCTAAAGCTGGATGTCTGGCATTAAAATCCCCTACCACAAGTGTATCTTCAGAAAAGAAGGAATCTGGCAAGTATCGTAAATCAAGGGAGCTATCAGAGATGTATAGATTAATGAAATTTAACTCTCGGTCCTTTAATTGTATCCGCAAGCTAATACTTTCAATACCTCTATATCTCTGAGGGATTCCAGTTATCTCGGCAGGTATGGTACTTTTGACATAACATGAGACCCCCCTAGTTCCTCCATCAGCATATAAGTGAAAGCCTCTATAGCCATTTAGCCTCAGTATGCTACCATCCCTATCCCCAGTTTCCTGGAGTGCTACTATGTCAATATCCTCTCTAAGAGTATAATAATGTACATCCACCGCTCTAGTTTTTAATCCATTAATGTTCCAAGATAATATTCTCAATTTACTTTCATCCATGATTAATAATAAAACTACCTTTGCCCTGTCCGTCACATTCCATGAGATACAAGAGTACCTTAGAAACTTCCTTCCAACACCGTAACATTTTTTCTTTCTCCTCGCCTTCACAACTACTACTAACATCGAAGGTAATATTTTTCATATCTATTTTCTTTGTTATTTCTGTAACCCGTTTTACTTTAACCGTTCTTTCACCATTTGTCACAACAGGAGGTTGAACACCGCTAACACTACTAGAAAGTGTATTCTCCTGACTATCCTCTATCATCGTTACCTCATGCACATCATTACTTTCGTCTACGCACGTTTCACTTTCCATTTCACGTCTCGTTTTACTTTCAATTACACGTCCTGTTTCACCACCATCTTCACCCCGTCCACCTTCCATAGCCAATTTTTCCAATGCCTCAATCCTCTTATCTAGTTGTTTTAGATACTCCAAAATTTGATTACCAACCTCAGAGGTGACCATATTGTCCTGAACCTTGTCGTCACAAGGTTTCAGTTTTTCCACTGCATGATGCACTTTCCCTAAGCTCGCCTTTACTTTCTCCGTCCCTTTTTCCCACACATTGATCATAGGGGCTGCCGTTGGCTTCCAACTGCTCCATGTTCCTCTTGCACAATTTTTCCTTGCTGCGAGGATACATCTATCCTGCTTGTAGGACCCGTTCTAGTCTCTTTCAGATGAGGCTTCATGGGGCATAGAGAGGAACCAGCATTGTGGCTGCCTCGACAGTTGCAACAAAATGGGATGATTTTTTCACTTCTTTCAATCTTGACTCTACACTCTCGCGAGTCGTGATTTTTCCCACAATACCGACACCTGGGGTCAAACTGGCATTTCCATGCCATATGTCCCCAACGTGAACACTTCATGCACAGTATGGGCTCCTCAACGTATTTTGCAACGTTCCTATAGCCTAGTCCTTGCACAAAGATTTTCTCCGGCGCCTCACCCTTTACCAAGGCAACAATCTGGCTTCGTTTGTCACCACGAACACTGTTCCTCTTTGCCCAGACAACATTATCATTGTTAAGAAGAAGACAGTCAGGATCCAAATAAGTTGGAAACTTGAAAACTATGATCTTTGTGTGCAACATACCTTCTTCTGGAGGAACCATCACTACATTCTCAAAACCAACCGTCGTGAGGCGTTCCACGGCCTGTTCAGTCCCAACTGTTATGTAGGGCCGATGAAGACCCTCCTTGAAAAGTGGTTCGTATTCCAAACATTGTTTAGCCAGACGTACCGTCCACTCTAGCTTTTGGTGGAAATTCAATTGGCATGTTGTAGGGAACAACAGCCTCTTCCTTCTTGTCTTGTTTTGCTTGTCTTGAGTCTTGCTGAGTAGGGTATCATTCTTTGGTCTCTTTGCAATCTCATCGTCACTCTCACTGTCTCGCTGTCTGTTATTATTTCTCCGTTTCTTTTTGTTCACTACTAATTCAAACGGTCGATTATCATCTTGTCTGTCCTCCTCACTACCACTTAGGCATAACGCCTCAGCCATTTCTTCGACGCTGTCAATAATCGAGAACAAATGCACAATATCCTGTATCACCACGTGCAAAAACGAAGAGTGTGGGGCAATCCTCCACCTCCCACCAATCAGCGGACGCCAAGAGCGCCAACCTAGCGACCGCACACAACCGTGGTCTGGATACATGATTGATTGATGAAGATTAAGCCACCCAAAAGGTGGCACGGGCATGAATAGCCCGTAAGTGGTGGCCCTTTTAAGCCATTACCAGTATCAAGAGCTGATACTGGAGATCTGTGGAGGTGCGAATGCACCCTGCATGACGGGAGATGTCTCCCTTATGAATGTGTTAAGATGAAGATGAAGCAACCCAAAAGGTGGCACGGGCATAAATAGCCCGTAAGTGGTGGCCCTTTTGAGCCATCACCAGTATCAATAGATGATACTGGAGATCTGTGGAGGTGCGACTGCACCCTGCGTGACGGGAGATGTCTCCCGGACCAAATGGTGACCAGATGGTGGTCTGGATACAACTGACCTGAGCCCATTATATGCCTCTGTAACCCTTTCCACTACCGCCCACAAGATGGGTATGGGGTGCATAATAAATTAACTAAACTAAACTATTTTCAAACAATACTGTTTGTTGACCAAGTTGTATAATTGCTAATTTCTGCCATGTTCCCCCCTTTTTTTCCTTTTTCAGCACAATTTATACTTTAATCCCAATTAGTATTATGTTTTAGTTTAAGTGTATTTTTTCCCACACCTTGCCCGAAACGCTGAGCGTATTAGTGACTTTAGGTATTGTATGTACTAGCTCTATCTATAAATCCAACATTATGTTTATAACAACTTCTATGTATGTACTTTTAGCTGAATAGACATTTGAATTTTTAATTTGAATTTGATGTGAGAAGGCGCCGTCTGCGTCGTCTGCGCCGCACTCATTGCGCATGCTCAGAATTTTTGCGGGAAATCTTTTCCCGCCAAAGTTAGTGTTGTTGTGAGAGGCAAAGGTTCTCGGGGATAAACGTGCTCCATAACAGTGTCATAATGGAAGGCTTTGATGATCCTGGCATCTTCTTCTCCGATAACTTTTCTACTGAAGAGCAAAATGATCTAAGTCAAATCAACTTACAAACTGTAAAGAAGAAATTTAGAGAATTTTTGCGTGAATTTCACGAAGGGAACTTCAATTACAAATACAGGTACGTTTCATGGCTACTGTGCAATGTATGCTAAGGGATAACCTGTATGTACAACTAAGAAGTGATGCAACGAAGGTGGTTGCAATAGTTTGTGTTACCTGGTGGGTATCACTTGGTCATTAGGGTCACCACCATTGGCTTAGGTCTGCCCGAAACGCTGGGCCTACTAGTGGCTTTACAAGATTGTAATTACTATACTATGTATCCTCGCAATCCCAATGTACCTTCTTGTATATATATAAATAAATAAATCAATAAAAGGTCAGTAACAATATACGACCACACCAACATCACGGACATTGGCCAGAGGGATCTCGATTAACCTAACAGGCTTCCTGTCTCCAACAGTAGTTAACTGGAGTATAGAACGTATAACCTATGGTATATATCTATGTATAAGTACTTTAAAAAATTAAATTGGGTTTTGTCAAGATATCTATGATTTGATCATCAATGATCTGCCTAATGTCTCTACCATTCTTAAACCTATATTTTTGCCGATAATACTACCCTCATCAACTCGCTAGTTGATGATGGTAGTATCATCGACCCCCACACATTAAATAATGCTGTGAATAATGAATGAAAAAAGTCCACTTATGAATGTCAACCAACAAACTCACACTAAACATAGAAAAGACCTAATACATCTTATTTAGAAGCAAATCAACACATGCAATACAGCTTCAGATAGACAATGTTAACATCAGTAATAAAAATGATGGAAAGTTTCTTGGCCTATACTTAGACAAGAGACTCAACTTCAGCACCCACATACAACACATAACTTAGAAAGTCTCTAAAATAGTTGGTATACCACTTAATTAAAATCAGACATTATGTACCTAACTCGACTCTCCTCTTACTATATTATGCACTAATCTATCCCTATCTTAATTATGGTATCTGTGCATGGGGTTCAACCGCTGCAAACCACCTCAAGTCCATCATCACCCAGCAAAAATCTGCTATCAGAACAATAACAAACTGCTTTCTGACAACACTCAGCCCCCTTGTTTAAATTCCTAGACATGCTAAACATAACCTCACTCTACACATCCTCTTGTGCCATCTACATTTACTGTTCTTAAATGCAAACCCTGCTCTGAAACTCTTCCTGGACAGATGTAATAGGACCCATAATCATCCTCCAGTTATAAATATATCTTTGATATCCCCGGAGTCAAACTTAAACTGTGTAAACACTATGCAAATAAAGGAACCTGGTGTGTGGAACTCACTCCCTAATGAATAGAAAAGCTGTCATCTTTTGTCTTATTCAAAAACAAAACCAAAAATACCTAATTTCATCTTCATAGTTTCCTACCTAGTGCTTGAAACTCACACTGTATCTAGTGCTACCCAGTCCCCCAATATTTATGTACCTACGCCATACAACTTTACTATTATGATCATTGCTGTCATCTTATGTTCTATCAATATGCTTTATTGTGCCTATTAATCTTTGTCAAATTATCAATCAAGCTATCAATGCTATCAATCAAACCTATCAATGTGCTTTAACATACCTACTAATCTCTCTCAATTTTTTCTTACAATGTACCTGTTAACATTTTATAAATTTTGCTAGAATTTACCTACTTAATATTATCTGTTATCATAAGGACCTGCCCGAAACGCTGTGCGTACTAGTGGCTTTACAAGAATGTAAACACAATGCTATGTACTCTCACAAATCCAATGTACCTTCTTGTATATATATAAATAAATAAATAGAGGTGGTAGGGGAAGAATTATTAATTAGTTTTTATTATTATTAATATAATTAGAAACAGAGCAATGCAAAAGATGTACAGTGACCACAACACAGCAGTTGCAACATCAGGATATGCGGGTTGGTACAAGAATTCAACCAACTACGAACCATTTAATTTGATGAAAGGGAGCAGTAGAACAACAGAAGTACACTTACATTGTATCAGGCTTGGATACCCATGTGCATAGGAAATAGGCTTACAGGTTCCAGAAGATGAGAGGAAATGTCAGCACTGGAGAAATGCCCAACAGACCACTGGAACATTATCACATTACCACTGCAACACGGTGCAGAGTTACAAACCCATTCAGATTTCAACTTAGATTCAACAGAGCAGAAGTTGTTAGTTTAACATGGGGCAAAATCTTACTGAAGCGACAATATGAGTCATAAATACTTATACTCAGCCTAAGTAAAACAGAAACAAGCAACACTTAGTGGGCCAAAGCCTTAGGGCCCATGCAGGAATATCCCTGCAAAAAAAAAAAAAAAGAGAAAATAATTTTTTCTTTTAAAATTTTTTTTTTTTTTCAGAGACTCTCTAAAGCGTCATTATAACTTGCGACAATATTATTTGGAAGTAAGTCTTGAAGATGTAGCCAGCTTTGATGAAACCCTTGCAGATAAACTTAAGAAAGCCCCTACAGAACATCTCCCACTCGTGAGTCCTTATTTCTCTATGTTCGGTAATTATGATGTTGCCCACAGTAAGCTTTACATTAATGGGAAAATTAAAATATTTTAATATGATTTATGTACACAGATTATTTTTCTGTTAAAGTAAGATATTTTCTAAGAACATTTTAAGCGGATTACTTCAATAAGCCTATGAGCCCCTCTGAGGCATATCTGATTTTCACAACTTGTTTTCCTTTTGTGTATCTGTTTACTAAATTAAATTTTTATAGCTGATTGAGGTAATTGCATCAGTTGAACAATACTTCCATTCAGTTTAGCTTGCTAATTCTGTTACTGAACTAAAGTTTTCTAACAACTTTTGTAAGTAGCAGTCAGGTTGATCAAAAAGGAATTAGTTTGAGAAACCTGAAACCATTACAGTCTTTGCATTTATTATATCTGCCTAAGGTCATTTCTAAGATGGGAAAAGGGAGAAAGTAATAATAAAGTAAATTGTTAGTTCTTCAGATATCATTGGTTTACCTATTCCTAGTAAATATAAACTGCATTTTCTTCAATTATGCTGATGGTGGAAAGTAAATATATATTGTACACAGTAAACAAATGATGTATACAAAATTATTAACTATGTACAGAATTCTGGGGATGAAGAGTCACAATAACGTGACTGAAAAATGTTGACCAAACCACATACTGTACTAGAAATTGAAGAGATGATAACGTTTTGGTCCGTTCAGTACCATTATCACAGTCAACTTGATAATGGTCCAGGACAGACCGAAATGTCGTCGTCTCTTCAATTTCTAGTGTACAGTATTCTGTTGCAGACAAATTTCTTGCCTATTTTACTTCAATTTTGGTATACAGTTTGAGGAAGCTGCGAAAGAAGTTGCTGATGAGGTGACTGCTCCTCGACCACAGGGAGAAGAGAAGGTAGAAGACATTCAGATTATGCTGACCTCTGGTGCCAATCCTGTTGATCTTCGCAGTCTGCAGGTTTGTGAAGAGACTTCACTACATTATTTAATAAATTGTAAAATGTTTGAAAACATTTTTGAAAATGTTTGAAATGTTTGTAGCTCTTGAAAAGAGTTTGTACAGCGTGTCCTCACTTGAACGAACTATATGGGATAAAGCTGATTCGTTCCAGTGCAGAATTATTTCCATCAATCTGGCCGCAACAACCCTTCTACCCCCCCCCCCCTCCCCCAATCACCCATCCCCTCTTCCCCCCCCTCACAAAAAAAAACCTAGCCACATTAATACATATGCCAGAACATATTTGCCTTATGAAAAATTGCACCTGAGTCACGAAGTGAGTCCTTGCTAGTGCAGGGTGCTGATCCTGTAGGCCTACTGTGAAACTGTACAAGAAACTTTTAAATCTTAGTTTGTTTCTTTGTTGTGAGCTTCATTATAATATTTCATGCTCTTGAGCTGGCAGATTATTATCTACACCTGTTCATCATCAGTTACAGCAACCAAATCAAGCAGATCATTAACCTTTTGCAATGATGCAGCAAATGGAATAGATAACACGCTGTCATCTTTCTATTCCACACCCTCCTTAGCATTACCAGTAACACAGTGGATAATCTGATCATCATTTAATTTACCATAACCTGGATCATCAGCAGCATTATCTAACCACTCAGTCACATCAGAAAGTTGCAAATCTTCCTCACCAGCATTTCATAATGTCTCAAAAATTGCATTATCAAAGCCCTCAAAATCATAATCATCTTCGTCTTTATTCTCACCAGGTACCGGACTCAAAATTTTATTCCATGCATTCTTTAATGTGATGACCTTTAACTCACCCCATTTTTTGGCCCAGTTGTAAATTGTTTTAATTGAATATTTCTTAACGTTTTCTAGTATTCTACTAGCCCTTGTATCCTTATTAAGCATCTTGTCTTCCTCAGAGAGCAGAACTTCCATAATGTCTGAATTCATAGCTCTTTTATAAAGCCGTTTGAAAGCATAGATAACCATATATAATTAGTAAAATATTGTTTATTTTGAAGTTTTATGCATTTTATACTGTACTGTATTAATGCACATGGTTTATACTAGTAGGCTGTTAGAGGGAGGCAGCTGGAACCCCCCTCCCCGACTCTAGGAATGACTCACTGCTCCCCTGCCACACAATGCCAAGTCAGCTGTGGGTTGCTACACCCCATTTGTCTTAACAATTCTGTGAAAAGTAAATGAATTCCAAATACTGTATATCACACTCTTCACCATTAATATTGCTCTAGTATGACATTTTATTAATAAAAAAGGCTAATTTCAGTGTAGATAATGTGATAATTGTCATTAAATTGACTTGACACCTGATCACTGCTAGTGAGAGAGTGTATGCGCCCATACATCTTAGCCTCACCTCCGTTAAACCCCTCCTCCACTGACACCACCAGACTTCTCTGACACCTCCACCCTACCATCATGCCCTTCAAGAAGACCTGGACAAAATAAGTATATGGAGCAATACTTGGCAAATGGAATTTAATGTGAATAAATGCCATGTTATGGAATGTGGAATTGGAGAAAATAGACCCCACACAACCTATAAATTATGTGAGAAATCTTTAAAGAATTCTGACAAAGAAAGGGATCTAGGGGTGGTTCTAGATAGAAAACTGTCACCTGAGGACCACATTATTAAGAACATTGTGCGAGGAGCCTATGCTTCACTTTCTAACCTCAGAATTGCTTTTAAATACATGGATGGCGAAATACTAAAGAAATTGTTCACGACTTTTATTAGACCAAAGCTGGAATACTCAGTGGTTGTATGGTGCCCATATTTTAAGACGCACATCAACAAACTGGAAAGGTGCAATGACATGCTACTAAGTGGCTCCCAGAACTGAAGGACAAGAGCTACGAGGAAAGGTTGGAGGCATTAAATATGCAAAAACTAGAAGATAGAAGAAAAAGAGGCGATATGATCACTACGTTCAAAATAGTAACAGGAATCGATAAAATTGATAGGGAAGAATTCCTGAGACCTGGAACTTCAAGAACAAGAGGTCATAGATTTAAACTAACGAAACAAAGCTGCCGGAGAAATATTCGAAAATTCACTTTTGTAAGCAGAGTGGTAGGAGGTTGGAACAAGTTAGGTGAGAAGGTGGTGGAGGCCAAAACCGTCAGTAATTTCAAAGCATTATATGACAAAGAGTGCTGTTACATAAATTTACATAAGGTTACATAAATTTTCAAGAACTACACATTTCAAGATCTGCAGTATCACACAAACTACAACAAGGTAAGCTGAAGTTTCTCTTAAAATATATTTTTGATACATAGTGTGCATAGAAATAAGACTTGTGGTAGTTGTGGTACAAAATATTGCGAATATGGTAATTTTTGGACTTCCCCTGTAAGAATTCTGCTATGTACAGTATTTTGAATGCCTGGCTTTTTTGGTGGGGAAGGGGGCGTCCTTCCCATATAATTCAGGATAAGTGAGCTTAGACTACAGGCAGTTATATAGGCTAAGTATTTTGAAAAGCATCTGGGGCATATTAGATCCTCCAAGGGCCTGCTTGTCAATTTTTCTGTTCCTATTAGAACCCTGAAGGCCAAAACTAATATCATTAGTAAATTTGGTCATCTTGATACCTAGTCAAAGGTAAAGTTTTTTAAGTCAATATCTAATCTTGTGTTGATGTCAAATATGGGACCTACAAAATGCAGACCATGTATGCTTAATTGTGAATGGAGGCAATGTATCTTGGGTGCTTATCCTTGCACTCATTACAGTATCTTACCTGACCTGATATCCACATCCCCACACTTCAGGAAATAATTCACAAATAAATTATACAATTTTTTCTGGAAGGACTCGCCCACCCATTAATAATCGGTTAATTTATAACAATTTTCACAGCTTGGTTGATAAGTAGTATTTATTCTGTATGTACATTCTCATATTGTATCAGTATTAACACTTTCCTGGATTTTCGACTTGGACTTACGGGCGGTTTCCCTAACCGCTTGTCGGATCACGACGTAAATTTACGGACCGTGTTTTATATTGGGTATTTACTACTCGATCGACTTGGGGTTTGTATGAATATGTTTGCCATTAAATTTTTGTTTTCTCTAATAGGCACAGTGCCTATTTGAGAAAACGGCAATGTATTGTAACTTAGAGGAGAGAGACTATTGAATTGGTGTCACAACGAGGGTAATCGCGCACTCCACACACTCTTGTGTTGGCCGCGATCATGATTCTACATTTATATGCATATGTCTGTGTAGAGAATTTTATTCCGAACACTATACAAACAAAAAAAACGGAGTGAATCAAGTATAAACTTGAAAAAACATGAACAAAGTAAAAACTTTTTACGCTCACGGGTTCAAACACGCATAAGATTCGCGTAAGTTTTTATTCGCCGCAAATTTATTTGACGCTCTGTTGGCCAATTCTACCCACGTTCTTATAGAACTTTCTATTCTTTCTTTCTATTAAAAATGAAATACGTAGCTCGAGAAATAATGTCATGACAGTGAAATAAGTATAAACTTTCAAAGCGCTGCATCACAACAGTGTCGTCGCTGCTGAAATCACGGCTAACGCTTCGCCCAGTTCCCACACTCGTGCGGAACATAATTAGACATTGATAGGCATATGTCTGGGTGCGGAATTTTATTGCGAGTTCAGTGATATCAAAATAAGCGCTGTAGGATGACTGTGAGGCTGGCAACAAACGAAAGAGTATGAACATTTACTTCCTGTTTGGGTGTCACGGCTAGTCATCTTCGTGTTTATTTACTTCGTGGTGGGATAGCAAATGCTTGGGTGACATTTTATGCATATGATCCTGTAGAGAATTTTATTGCCAACGCATTGATACCAAAATGAAAAACGTAGCTCGAGAATTGATGTTAGGAGCGTGAAAAGATGATAAACTTTTTTGTGTTCACGCTTGAGCGCCCAGAACGCCGCGCGCACAACCCGCTTTTTTTTCCAGGGAGTGCCGCGCGCACTAAAGTGTTAAAAAAATTCTATTCTGTACTGTGTATTAATTTTACATAGGATTACCAAATAAAATCTTAGCTTGAATGTTAGCTTAGTAAATTAAGTAAACCTCTAAATTTATATTTCCAGTCTGATGAAGTTAGCCGGCTAGTGAAAGTTGCAGGTATTGTGGTAGCAGCATCAGGAGTGAAGGCTAAAGCCTTGACATTGACGGTGCAATGCCGTTCCTGTCAAACCACCTTGACAAATTTGCCTGTTAAGCCCGGTCTCGAAGGCTATCAGCTACCTAGAAAGTGCAATACGTAAGTAATGCCACAAAACTTCTCGCGACAAGTATTTTTCTCATTTACAGTACTATAGTTGTGGAAATTTTTGTCACTTATTTTTACTTTTCTATGACCACAAATTTTTTTATTTACCAGGGAACAGGCTGGAAGACCAAAATGCCCTCTTGACCCCTTCTTCATTGTGCCAGATAAATGTGAATGTATTGATTATCAAGTACTGAAGCTTCAGGAAGTCCCTGAAAATCTGCCCCAGGGAGAAATGCCACGGCACCTCCAGCTTTATGTTGACAGGCAAGTGCTATTGGAATTTCTGTACTGTACTGTATTTGAGTACAAGGTGCATTATATTTTTTGTCTCAAAGAAATTGCAAAATTTGTGGGTTCATTTAAAATATGTTAAGATCATGGAACTTATTTAATTAAATGCTTATCACATTGAATTAATTTATTTATATACTGTACAAAAAGGTACAGTGGGTTGAGAGTACATAAGTTTAGTGATCAAGTGGTACATTCTGGCAAAGCCACTACTGTATCATGTATAGCATTATGGGCAGGCTCTAAAGCTAAGTAAAGAAGGAAGAATATTCAATATTGAATATAAAAATAAATGTAATAATAAGTACATTGTAACAGAATCTGAATTCATATACTTACTATGCCAGCATAAAGTGGTGATACAATAAATTATACTGGTGACATTGCATTTCTAGATTGTAAAATACTAGGCGAGTTAGCATAAGATACATACTATGTTAATGGCTCAAGGTAGGATACTATGAAGCTGAAATTAGGTATATACTTCATTGTTATACTATTGAATAAAGTACAGTATTGATTAGGCAATTTTTAATTTATTAGGGAGTGAGGTCCATATTTTGGATCCTTTTATTGGCATTGCATGACTGCAAATATCAGAGATGTTTATTTCTGGCATGATGTTCATCCATTTAGGAAAATTTTCAAAACAGTATTAGAATTCAGGAATAGGGCTTTGTAAGTGTAAATAACATAAGAAAATGTGTGGTGTGAGTGTATGTTTGGCATGTTCCGGGATGTGAACAGAGGGGCTGTGTGTTGCCTGAAGATAATTTGTTATATTGTAGTTCTGATACTAATTTTTGTTGGGTGGTAATGGGCTTGAGATAGTTTGTAGTGGTTGAACCCCATAGACAGATTACATAAGTTAGATAGGGATATATTAGTAGTATAGTGTGAGAAGAACAGCGTGGAGGACATGTGTGTTTTGAGAGTATACCAACAATTTTAGAAGTTTTTGGCTGTGTCCTTTATGCAAGTATTGAAGTTAAGTCTAGTATGTATAGGCCATTTTTATTATTAATGCTCATTTTTATTATCAATGTTTACATTGTCTATCTGACGGTAATTACCTAAGTATTGATACAGCATGAGAACTATGCTGGTAGTGTCCCCATCTTCCCAATACTCTTTGTCAGATAACTATTTTAACACTTTACGTAACCCGCAGTGCACCGCAAGGTAGGCTGTACGTTGCCCTTGAGTGCACAACCACACTCCAATGTTTGTACTCTTTGCAGTTTTCTCACCTCAATATTGTGCTATGTCATTCATTTTGGTATCAAATTGTTTGCAATAGAATGCTCTAAGGGGATGTATGCACATAAGGTCAAATAGAAGAACAACATTACCAATACTATAAGATAAAGTACATTGTAATGTGATTAAAAACTAGCATTGAACGTAATGAAACTGCATTTTCTGGTCAAAGCCCCAGAGGTTCCCTGGAGCTGTCTGAACTGATATGTGCTATATTAGTTTGGGGTCATCAGTCACAAGGAGTTCTTATGCCTACCAAAAATCAGAGCTGTCCACTCCATGAAAACAAGAATGAAACGGAACAAGCCATCTGCCAGAACGTTGGACATTCCTCGAACGAGAACAGCACAGAGCTAAACCCCGAGAACTTGGCAGAATAGCTACCCAAAAAGACCAGCCCCAAGGAGCCACAGGCCGAAGAGACCCACCCCCCCTGTGATGGTGATAACGAACTACTGGTGAGCAGTCTGAATGGAGCCGTATCGAAGAGCCCCGAGGAAGCCAAATCCGACTCAGTGCCTGCCACACCACTACAAAGTCCTGCACTGTGCTGTGAGTCCGACGGAAGGACCACCACCAGAGCCCCTGGCCGGACTGGTCACAAAACCCCAACTGAGTAATGAGGTTTCCGAGAACACAGCGAGCGAGGGATGGGGAAGGCACCATGGCACCGAGCCCCAAAAAACTCAGAGGAAGCCGTGACTCGGCAACCAACTCGAGGACACCAGGTTGTGAACCCAACAGTCACAAGCGTGGCAAAAGAGGGTTCCTGCACAGCTGCTCGAGCAACCGCTGAGTGACCCAGGTCCCCCGCACAAATAGCTGAAGGCGGGACTGAAGTCGGAGCTGAGCTGCAGGAGGGAGGTTATATCTTGAGGTTATCTTGACAAGATTTCGGGGCTTTTTTTTAGTGTCCCCGCGGCCCGGTCCTTGACCAGGCCTCCACCCCCAGGAAGCAGCCCGTGACAGCTGACTAACACCCAGGTGCCTATTTTACTGCTAGGTAACAGGGGCATAGGGTGAAAGAAACTCTGCCCATTGTTTCTCGCCGGCGCCCGGGATCGAACCCAGGACCACAGGATCACAAGTCCAGCGTGCTGTCTGCTCGGCCGACCGGCTCCCTGACCAGGAGAGAGACGAATGTTGGCCAAGATTCCATACGAGGCCCAGCAAAGTCTGAATCTGGGACGGAACCAACTAGAACATTTGCCAATTCACCAGGAACCTGAACCTGGCAGGCTGGAAAAGAATCAGATCTCTGGCTAGCAGACAAGCAGACCGGCTGGGAGCCCATACCAATCAGTCGTCAAGGTAGGCCAACACCCGAAGACCTAGCAAGTGCAGATGGGCCACTATGCCTCGAGTCAGACACGTAAAAACGCAAAGTTCCAGATGTAAGCCGAAAGGCAGACAACGAAAGCAGTAAGCGTGTTGCCTCACCTGGAACCCCAACCAATCCCTGAATCAGAGATGAATAGGGACATGCCAATAAGCGTCCTGGAGGTCTAGCGAAAGCAACCAAACGTCCGGCTCGAGAACGAGCTGGACCAGGGATAGGGAGGTCATCCAAAAAGAATCATCCAGTTCAAATAAGACTAGTCCAGAATGTGCCGGAGATCCGCTCAGTCCTGGGGCCTGACAGCTGAGTGGACTGTTCTTCGGAGTCGTAGTCCTGAAGTTCCGGTTTGATCCCCGGTGGAGGCGGAAACAAATGGGTAGAGTTTGTTTCATCCTGATGCCCCTGTTACCTAGTAGTAAATATGTACCTAGGAGTTAGACAGCTGCTACAGATTGCTTCCTGGGGGGTGGGGGGGGGGGGGGTTGTAACAAAAAGGAGGCCTGGTCAAGTACTGGGCCATGACGACACTAATCCCCGAAATCATCTCAAGATAACCTCAAGAAGTCCTGTTTTGGAACTGGGAACAAGCAGGAAACCCACTTGAGAGACGAAGTCAGTACAGCTACACCCAAGTGAAGCCACTCCAAGATGACTAGACCGAGGGACGGGGAAGAAGGCTGTCCTCTCAGGCCTGACTTTCTCCCTATAGGGGGATGGTCCACCCAATGCCTCCAGAGATCGGAAGAAATGATCCAAAAAGCCCATAAATTGTGGGACCAAGCTTGGGCAAAAAGAGACAGCTTTCCCCCCAAATGCCCTGTCAACGTGGTGACGTGCGAAAAAGCCGACATGAACCATGAGAATCCAAACGTCGCACAGAGCGAACATCGTGCTGACCAGATGACGAAGGTCTCTGGGAACCAGCCGACGGAATCAGAATCACTGCCTTCAAAGATGTACCTTGACCAATCAAGGCACCAGCCATGTTTCCAGATCCCTTATTGGCAGAGCTCTGGTGCATGGGGGAATTGTGTAACATCCTGGTTTGTGTCTCGGAGAGACTGCAGGATCCGTGGTAGGTCAAGTTGATTTCCCGGTTTCAATTCTTTTGACCATGTTGTAGCTCAGTTGATTAAGGTGCGTATGGGATCCTCTCGGACATAGGTTTGAACCCTCATCACGGCCCTTGTGGATTTGTTCATTTGATGCATCACGCTATTGTGATTTCTGTGTGTTCAAATGTTTGTACATGAATTACCAGTACTTAAAAAGCCTTGTTTAGCCAATGTATTTTAATGTTGCTGTTTATTAATACTTTTTGGAATGAAATGTTGTCAGTGGTAATAATTTTTAATGTGTGTTTCTTTCAGAGCTCAATGTGAACGTGTAGTGCCTGGCAATCGTGTAACTGTCCTCGGTATCTATTCTATAAAGAAAATTGGGAAGTCAACTGTGAGTTAAATTGTATTGTATATAATAACATTTATTCCCATCTTTTATGGAAACTAGCTCATCTTAATGATCAGCAGCCAACCCGTTCTCGCAAATTCGTAAAGTCAATATTGACTTATTAACTACGTGCATAGGTGACATACTAAACATAATAGATACCCCTAAAAAGATTCATAGAAAACACCGACCTTACCTAACCTTGTTAGTATCTTAAGATAAGCATCTTATTGCTTCATAATTACAATTATTACTTAACCTATACCTATTATAGGTTAGGTAATAATTGTAATTACGAAGCAATAAGATGCTTATCTTAAGATACTAACAAGGTTAGGTAAGGTCGGTGTTTTCTATGAATCTTTTTAAGGGTATCTATTATGTTAAGTATGTCACCTATGCACATATTTAATAAGTCAATATTGACTTATTAAATTTGCGAGAACGGGTTGCAGCAGCATATACAGGAAGTCACTTTTTTTTTCTGGCCCCTTTTTTTTTTTTTTTTTTTTTTTTACCAAGACTAGGGTTCATAAGGGCTATCAAATGACATATCGAGTGAAACTAAGCAATAGCTGTTATCCTTCCTCAGCTTATCCTACCTCAGAAGCCTGCTCCTAGAAACTCATTTATTTCATGAGAATGCACTTTGAAACTATCACATAGAGAACTATCATATAAGGTACCTTGTGAAACTGCAAGCAAGAGCTGTAATCCTACCTCAGCTGTGTTCAAACCTACTGAGAGGCCAATTTATTTCAAAAGCCTGTTATATGCATCAGTAGGAATAACCTATATTCATTAATAACATTAGGTAACAATCATATAAGGAACAGGATGAGCCTGTAGCCAACTGTGTGCCAGCAACCCGTCCTCTTAAAAATGCCACTTTTCGCTCGTATGCGCTCCTAGGCAAAAATGGACGTACAGTAATTTGAAATTAAAGCAGCTCACGAAAGTGATGTAATGTCCCATTTTCTGTTTGGGTCCTCCGGCTTACTCGGTTAGGTTAGGAGAGGAAACTTTCAATTAACTGTTTTCTAGACATTTTGAAACCTTAGGAGAATTTCCTGCCCTCCTAACCTACCAGAGGACCCTCTACTTATGCTCTAGAAACAACAAATCCATTTTTTTTTTTTTTTTTCAAATTACATCCATTTTCAGCCTTACGGGCAAACGGCCAAATTAAGATGTAATTTGTAAGAGGACAGGTTGGTGCCACTCAAACAAAACCTTGAAACATTATATTGTCCGACTTTCATATGGACATGTATTACATACACTGATAGTATAGTGACAAAATATAATTTGTCACTTATTACAAGAATATATGCATATACATTAATGAAATAATATCATTTATCAAATATTTCTCAACAATTATAGAATTTATAAAGTTAGGACAGTGTATGTTCATAATATTGTGCTGTATTCACTTGGTCATAACAGTAATGAAAATGGGGAAAAAGAGAGAGAGGAGACCAGAAGACATCTACACTATAATGGGAAGGCAACTACAGGAATCAGAAAGTGAGAGATTTGGGAGTGGGTACAATTCTGACTCTTAACACTGGAGGCACACATGAACAGGATAACATCAGCACATTATCATCCTCTGCACAAGGGGAGGGGGAAAGTAAAGCTTTGGCAAAAAATTATAGACCAGTTGCACTAACGTCACACTTAATAAAAGTTTTTGAAAGAGTGATTAGGCATCAAATTTCTAGTTTTATGGAAAATAATGAGCTACACAACCCAGGACAACATGGATTTAGAGTGGGAAGATCTTGTCACAGTTATTCAACCACTATGACAAAATCATAGAAGCTTTAGAAGAAAAGCAAGATGCAGATGTTGTATACACAGACTTTGCAAAGGCATTTGACTAATGTGACCATGGAGTGATAGCACACAAAATAAGGTCAATAGGAATAACTGGTAAAATAGGATGGTGGATAGTCAATTTCCTGTCAAACAGAACACGGAGTAACAGTCAGTCAAATAAAATAGAATCCAAGCGCAGTTAAAAAGCTCTCTACCTCAGGGTACAGTCCTTGCACCACTGCTTTCCCTTATTCTCATATCAGATATAGATAAAAATACAAGTCACAGCTTCATATCATCCTTTGCAGAGGACACAAAAATCAGCATGAAAATTACCTCTGCTGAAGACATTGAAAAACTTCAAGCAGATATTAATAAAGTTTTTTGACTTGGCAAGAGAAAATAACATGATGTTTAACAGTGACAAATTCCAGGTACTCAGGTACGGTAAAAATGAGAACCTTAAACATGATACAGGGTACAAAACACAATCAAATCTGCCCAAAGTAGGAAAGCAACATGTAAAGGATTTGGGAATGATGATGTCTGATGACATAACTAAGCAAATATTGCGTCGGCCAGAAAAATGATCGGATGGATTACGAGAACTTTCAACTCCGGGGATTCCATCACAATGGTTGTACTATTCAAATCACTTGTGCTGTCCCGGCTTAAGTATTGCTCGGTACTCCCCCCTTCAGAGCAGGATGATTGCTGAAATAGAGCGAGTACAGAGAACATATACAGCACAGATAGATGCGATAAAGCACCTAAATTATTGGGATCGTCTCAAATGTCTCCAAATGTACTCACTAGAAAGGAGACGAGAGAGATATTAATTAATATACACGTGGAAAATATTGGAGGGCCAGGTCCCAAATCTACACGGTAAAATAACAACATACTTGAGTGAATGATATGGAAGAAAATGCAGAATAGAACCAGTGAAAAGCAGGGTGTGCCATAGGCACAATCAGAGAACACTGTATAAACATCAGAGGTCCACAGTTGTTCAACATCCTCCCAGCGAGTATTAGAAATATTGCCGAAACAACTGTGGACATCATCTAGAGAAAACTAGATTGTTTTCTAAAAGAAGTGCCGGACCAACCGGGCTGTGGTGGATATGTGGGCCTGTGTGCTGCTCCAAGCAACAGCCTGGTGGACCAAGCTCTAACAAGTCTGGCAGTGGTGGTGGCAGCTGCAGGAGCACCCACCTGGTAGCAGAGACAGCAGTAGTAGAACTATTACTCTTCTACTGGGGAGTAGAACAACTCCCAGAACTCCATCAAGCAGGTATATGGGATGCTGGTAAATGTGAGAACATTATTTAGAAGCCTAAATCAGAACTTCAGGGCAATCTACACAACATTTGCTAGACCAATACTGGAATGTCCATCACTGGCATGGAATTTACATCTTATAAAGCATAAAGGCTAAATAGAAAAAGTACAAAGGTTTGCAACAAGATTGGAGCCAAAGCCAAGCTGTGAGGATAGGCTACCTAAACTTCACAACCCTAGAGGATCGAAGGAACAAAGGAAATATGATCACAACATACAAGGATATTGAGGGGAATGGATAAGGTGGACAAGAGTAGCCTCTTCAGATTAAGAGAAAGCAGGGCAAGAGGACATAGATGGAATCTGGAAATGTGACTGCCACCGCTAGTCAGTTGCTCTTTCCACTGCTCCTTGCATCGCCACTGCTAGGCATTCTCTCCTACTACTTCTGCTGCCACCACCCTACCTAGTGTTTGCTCCTATCATTGCCGTCACTGCTGCCAGGCAGTTGCTCCTGCCACTGCTGCTGATGACAGGTGGTCATTTCTGCCACTGGTGCCGCTGGTAGCTAGTTACTACTGTCACTGTAGTTAATCGCTTCTGCCACTGCCAGGCATTTGCTCTTGCTACTGCCACTGCAGATGCCAGGCAGTTGCTGCTGCCTCTGCTATCAGGTGGGTGCTCCTGCAGCTGCCACTACCACTGCCAGGCTGTCACTCTTGCCACTACCACTGCCAGGCTGTCACTCTTGCCACTACCACTGCCAGGCTGTCACTCTTGCCACTGGAGCCACCACTGCCAGGCTGTCACTCTTGCCACTGGAGCCACCACTGCCAGGCTGTCACTCTTGCCACTGGAGCCACCACTGCCAGGCTGTCACTCTTGTTGGAGCCACCACTGCCAGGCTGTCACTCTTGCCACTACCACTGCCAGGCTGTCACTCTTGCCACTGGAGCCACCACTGCCAGGCTGTCACTCTTGCCACTGGAGCCACCACTGCCAGGCTGTCACTCTTGCCACTGGAGCCACCACTGCCAGGCTGTCACTCTTGTTGGAGCCACTACTGCCAGGCTGTCGCTCTTGTTGGAGCCACCACTGCCAGGCTGTCGCTGCTCTTGCCGCTGGAGCCACTACTGCCAGGCTGTTCCTGCCGCTGACCAGCCACTGCTGCCACAACTACCTTTACTTTTTGGCACCACATCACTCTGTGTTCAATTACTATCTTACTCATTGTATTACATGTGCTGTGTTCTTTATATTCCCTGTAATTATTGCATCCCTATAATTCTTTACACCATTGTTATTGTCCTGGAATTTCCAGCCTAGACTTTTTTTTTAGGTCAGTTGTGATCAAAACGTGCATAGTTGTATAGCTTAGTATTATTGCATCACCTTTACTATATCACCCCGATCCCTCTGTTTGAATTCTAAGATATTGTGTCTTGGGAACCCCTTTCTTCAGTGCTTTCATGTAATTGAGCCATTATTAGTTCTTAATTAGTTTCATTGTTAACTTTCTACAAATATTAATTTATTAATTTTTTGTTTCATCTTTATATAGTTTTGTATTAGTATATATATTGTGCTAAATAAATGTTTTACTAACAGAGGGGCTCACGCGACAAGGTTGCAGTAGGTATCCGAGCCCCATACTTGAGGGTAGTGGGTATTCAGGCTGACCAGGAAGGACGTGGATACACATCAGGTGTCACTATATCTTCAGCAGAAGAGGAGGAATTCCGCCGGCTTGCACAGTCAAGCAATATCTATGAAAGAGTTGCTCGAAGTATTGCCCCCAGTATTTTTGGTTGTGAGGACATAAAGAAATCTGTAGCGTGTTTGTTATTTGGCGGTTCACGTAAACGTCTTCCTGATGGCCTAACACGAAGAGGAGACATAAATGTTTTACTCCTTGGTGATCCTGGTACAGCCAAGTCACAGTTGTTAAAGTTTGTTGAGCGGGTGGCCCCTATTGCTGTTTATACATCAGGCAAAGGATCTTCTGCTGCTGGTTTAACTGCATCTGTTACAAGAGATCCTGTTTCAGTAAGTTCATGAACTAAAATTTGCAAGTTTGTCATTAATTGATACATTTCTTCTCTAATATTACCTTGTACTGTATATGTAAATATATGAATATAAATATAATAAATATATGCCCCGGCCTTTAGGAACCCCACTTACCACATTCCTCCAGCCTTAAATATTCCTTTACCCAGTTTGATGTCTTAACTTTGTTCCACATTCTCTCCTAGTTAGAAATGGGTTTGGATGATCTCTTCCAACTTTTATAATGTACTGGATTTCAGGTATTGCAAAAATTTAGTATAATTACTGTTCTCTTATTTTAGGTTCCTTTTCATAGGGATTAATCATGTCTTAACTGATAGTGATTTTTCAACAGCGTAATTTTGTGATGGAGGGTGGTGCTATGGTGCTTGCTGATGGTGGTGTAGTCTGCATTGACGAGTTTGACAAAATGCGTGAGGATGATCGTGTAGCAATTCATGAAGCAATGGAACAACAAACAATCTCAATTGCAAAGGCTGGAATTACCACTACCTTAAATTCACGCTGTTCAGTAATGGCTGCTGCAAACTCTGTTTTTGGCCGCTGGGATGATACTAAAGGAGAAGAAAATATTGATTTTATGCCTACCATCCTCTCTCGATTTGACATGATTTACATTGTAAAAGATGAGCATAATGAAGCCAGAGATACAGTATGTACATTTCCTTGTCTACAAGTAGATTTGATTATACGTACATAAATTTATTGTAATTTATTTCATATTTTTTTAACCATGTAAAGTTTGCAACATTCAATTGCACTTTCCAGACGATGGCCAAACATGTTATGAACGTTCATTTAAATGCTCTGAAGACTGCTGAGGAAACTCCTGAAGGTGAACTCTCTCTCAAGTTTCTGAAGAAGTTTATCAGTTACAGTAGAAGGTAAGCAGGCAAGAACCATGCACCATAAACACAATTCAATGTGCATACCAAAACCTGTAAATTATTTTGCTATTAAGCTTTTCAATAGGGGTTTCGCCGATATGCTGCCACGGGTAACACTTCGGCCACTTCCCACACTCTTGCGGGTGGGCTGCGACATTGATTCTATATTTATATGCATATGGCTGCGTAGGGAATTTTATTATGACTTCAGTGATAACAAAATTAACGCTGTAGGACAAGTGTGGAGTTGACAACCCTGAAGAGAGTAGAAACATTTCGTTGCTGTTTGGCGCTCACGGCTAGTGATCGACGTAGTTCTTGATTTGGTGCTTGTCTAACTCATGCTTTGGTGACATTTTATACTAATGTTCTTTTAGAACATTCTGTTCGATATGTACATCGAAAATTAATGTCAGGACAGTGAAAAGAGTCTACACTTTCAGTGTTGCCGCTCGATTGCCCGAAATAATGCGCGCACGAGAGGCAAGTTTTTTTTTGTTTGCCGATCGCTCGAAAGTGTTAACATATTGGAATGAAATTTTCACGATTCTGATGCCAAATAATGGGAAATTTGTTTAAAAATTTTCACTATTTTTCATATTTTGAAAATTTCTCCTCCGTCACCGGGCCCCTTAAACATATTTAGTTGAAAACAACAAAGTTTTAGATTTATGATTCTGGCACGAATCTTCTCGATATTATTGGGTATATATCTCGATATATTCTTCTCCATATCTTCACTGAAGCTGGAAGTTGAAAAATGAACTCTCCAAAGTTCATTTTTACATTTTATTTGGGTCTGACGCCTAGTGATACATTGCGTAAGGTCTTGCCTCACATTCTCAAAAACAAATTCTACTGTTCTTAGCACCTGGTTATATCCTCTTATGGTGAGGTGGTTAAGTGGATATCAATAAGATCTGTCTCGTATGGGGCAATAGGCCATCTGCAGTTACCTTCATTCTTAAGTTGGCAGCATACGTTCTTCTGGCTGCTTCTGTTCCTATTGCATGTCATTGACTGCTTCATGTCTGGCAATCTTTCCCTGTGACCTACAACAGATGAGACCATGGCTGCTGTGTTGTTCTGCTGACGCATAGCCACAGATACACCGGTGTTTGGTAGAGATAGGGTCGGCAAGGCGCAGGGCAACACTGATACTTAGGGCCCGATGCTCTAGGCAGGTGCCCAAGGTAGTATTAGAGACAGCCAACAGGGAAGTCCCTGGCATGGGGAGCTTGCACAGCTAGGAGACATGCTTTATCCTTCCCTGAAGCTTGCTCCAGCAATGCTGTGGCAATGTTCTCAACTATAGGGCTATCCCATTTGGCCTGTTTGCAGTCATGTGGAAAAGTTGGTTGAGGTTGAGAGTTGGCAAGATTGTCCCACTGGCCAGCTCTGTCCACGAATTTGGGATCATAAATCCCAATGGAGTTTCTTAGGTATTCTGGTCGTATTTCATTCATTGTACAATTGTTCAGATCTACCTGAAAACTCAGGGAAAATATTTTTATTAATTTTATAAAATGCAGTAATAATATTGTTTGCTTTATCATTTAAGCCGTTGTGGTCCTAGACTGTCGGAGAATGCTGGAGAGAAATTAAAAAATCGGTACATACTGATGCGAGGAGGAACCCGTGAAGCAGAGAACCAATCTGAAAAGAGACTGGCAATTCCCATTACCGTAAGGTGAGATTCGTTAAAGAAAATGCAGGCAGCATTGATATCTTCAAACTTTCTGTATTATGCAAACCATGTATTAATAATAAATAATATATCTCTATCTAAGTATCTAATTCAGATATATATACTGTATACTGTATGTGTGTGTATATATATATATTATATATATATATTTGTGATTGTTGTTTTGTAATTACCTAAGTGTTGTTACAGGATTAGAGCTATGCTCGTGGTGTCCCGTCTTCCCCGCACTGTCATATAAAGCAATTCTGAAGTTAGAAAGTGTGGCATAGGCTCCTAGCACAATGTTCTTTGTGGTCCTCAGGTGATAGTTTTCTATCTAGAACCACCCCTAGATCTCTTTATCAGAATTCTTTAAAGATTTCTCACATA